CGGGACGCGTCGCCGCCGGGTGTCGCCGGGAGGTGTTAACGGAGGGCAGCCGGCGCTCCCCGAGGCGCCCGGGAGGAGGTGGGTCCGGGAGCAGGGAGCGTCGCGTAGGGGGCCGGTTCAAGCCCGCCGAAATGCGGGGCCCTGCGCGCGCGGGAGCCCCCGCCGCCCTTGCCGCGTTGCGGGGCGCCGCTCCGCGCCCTGCCTGKGGAGCCAGGCGGGCTCTTCCCGCGCGGTGGGTGCAGGCAGCCCCGCGCTCCTGCCCGCATCCTTCATCCGAGTGGAAWAAACAGCGGAGGGAGCCGAGTCCCGCTCCGGGACACGCCAATTCCCGAGACACTTGGACTTGTGTGGGCGGCTTGTGCTTCGTCCTCCCTCTGGAACGATAGTTTTAAAGGACAGAAGGTCCGTGAGGCAGAACCCAGCCTGCGCTCTGCAGCGTTGCTTAGGCTTAGGTTTGTYCGAGAGCGTTTGAGGTGCGGAGACACGTGTCCCGCTGCCGTCATGTGACAGTGACCGGGCTCGGCGCTGCCCGCGGCGCCGCGGGCGCCCCGCTGCCCTGGAGGCGTCGGGAGAAGCGGCCCGCGGGGCTGCGGCCTGCGCGGCAACGGCCGCGACGGGCGGGGAACGGCCAGGGAACGGCCGCGACGGGCGGGGAACGGGAACGGCCGCGACGGGCAGGGAACTGGAACGGCCGCGACGGGCGGGGAACGGCCGCGACGGGCAGGGAACGGGAACGGCCGCGACGGGCGGGGAGCGGGCAGGGAACGACTGCGTCGGACGGGGAACGGGAATGGTCGCGACGGGCAGGGAACGTCAGTGACGGGCAGGAAACGGCCGGGATGAGCAGCGCGCGGTGGCACCTCCGAGCGCGGGCCCGGATCCGCGACGTTCGACACCTCGGCACCGAACCCGTCGTGACGGAGTCTGCGGCGCCAGGGAGAGCCCTGTGCGGATCAGAGAGACCGAGTGGTGCTGCAGGATCGGTGCCGTGCAAGCGGGAACGGGGGCTGCCCCCCCTTGGCTCATTTTGTACATATTTTAGGTTTTAGGTTTAAAGAAACCCCAATAATCTCAAAACACATCAGAACAAAAGAAACATTTTTTTTTCCTTTTCATTTTTCAAACACTGAATTAAGGAAGCCTGCTGTCCACTTAGCACTAAATGCAAAGGTTCACTCACTGCTTTTTTGTCTCACATTTCCACTGATTCCTGCTGTTTCTTGTGTTTCCTGTTTCATTGTATTTTTGTTCTTTATTCATTTCTTATAGTCCGAGTGCTGAACGTGTTCCTGTTCTCTTCCTTTTCTGATCTGGCCTATTGCCTGCCTGCTGTAAAGCTAACTAAGTAAAAAAAGGACGTTGTTTTGCAGGGCATGAGGAAATTAATAGCTCCTTTAAGTTTTTTTCTTTATATTTCTGAATAATGCATTCTGAATGGTGGCAAGACTTCACCAGAAGATGTTGACAGGCTGCTCCTGCCTCAGCATGGTAGGGGTACCCCATGCTGAAAGTAAGGATGGGTGCAAAAGTAGCTCCATGGAAAGCSAAGTTTTTCCTTTCACAATCCTAGAGTGTGGTCAGAACGGCAGTGGACCTGCAGGTGAAGGAGCTGGTTCCTCCTGTCATCTCTGAAGATTCCCAAACTCTGGGGCCGTTGGGCTGCTGTCAATCTTCATGCCTTGAAGTTAATGAATGAGTTTGTCAAAATACTTTTTAATATGATTCCATAAACTAACTACAGAGCAGAATTACAGGTGGGGAAGAGGCTGATACGTGTATCAAGGTCCCAGAGTAGCAGTTCTTGCTCTTTCAAATTCTGTTCTTTTTATCTCATGGTCTCTCCCCCAACTCTGAGAAGCTGCTGCAGAGTTAGCAAAGTGCATATAACTATTAGAGAGTCCTTTTTTTTCCCTCTGTGTGTAACTATCTATTCGTCAAAATAGTGAGCAGAGTCCAAATTCTGTTTTTGCTTTCTGCTGCTTTATTAATTGGCTAACATTGATTTCTTTTTCAGTGGACTGATTGGTCGCAGCTGGGCTATGGTGTTTGCTGCCGCAGGCTTCAAAGTGAAACTCTATGATATTGTGCAACAGCAGATAAAAAGTGCACTGGAGAACATTCGGTAGGTCACCTGGCTGCAATGACTGGCACTGAAATAAATCTGTGGGATTTCTGTAATTAACGATGAACGACGAACAAYGTCTTGTTGTTGGAAGGAAATTCTGATAAGATCAGAAAAACGTGTTCCCAGATCATTGAACTGGGTGTTAAAGTGTTTTCAAGATCACTTAAGTTTTGAATAATTTTATAGGTAATGAATTAGGAGCTGGGGTTCAAATTCTTGTAATAATGTGTAGCAAAATTAGATTACCAATAGGTTATAATTAAAATACATGAACATAAATATTTTTGTGCAGGAAGACAACATWATCTCATTCAAATCGAAAGGAAGCTAGTATTGATTGCTAAGAAGTCTCACTACAATTAACAGTATTCTCTATAGCTGAAAAAATAATATTATTTGGATTGTAGAAGAAGAGGGTATTATTTCTACTAAAGATGCAACTGCTGATCAGTTGGAGTGCTGGAATCTTCTTTACAAGGAGCAAGTGTGAGGGCCTGAGCGTGTTGGTGTGAGCCAGTTAGATTGCTCCCAGATAGCCCTGTGGCACCAGGGCTAAAGTCTCGTGCTCCAGGTAGGCGACRGAGGTCCAAGCTAAGTCCTGCCCTCCGCCAAGCTACAGTGCCCACAAGGGCCTTGTCTATTCAGTAACTGACTAGCTCTTTTCCAGGTATTTCTCCAACCTTCCTTTGAACTCCTGTGAACCTTCGGTGTCTATCTTGCCAAAGGACTTTGTGTTCTGCAGGTTCACTTCTCACTCCCATAGGAGCAAGTTCCTTTTGCATGTTTTGAACATGCTCTCCACTTGACCAGGACACTAAGACCAGGTGTCTGGTGAAGACCAGGTGTCTAATGGTGAAGGAGATGAATATCCATCTCCCACAAATTTCCCTCTCCCCTTCCATCTCCCCCCAGCTTCTGTTTCTGGGAAGGYGTTAGTCAAGCTTAACATCCTTGTTGCTAAGCCTGAATAGCACTATATAGGAGACACTTTTGGTTTGGCAGAATTGCTGTCATGGTTGAGAGTTGGCTCTAGATTATTTGTAGGATGATAAGACCAAAATAGGATTGAACACTGTATCTGCTTATGCAGACTGCAGAACTTTCTAAAGCAGAGTGAGGACTTTAACCTTACAAGGCTTTTGGCCTGGARAAGTATAAAATGACATGTGATGGTAGAGAAGTGTTTGTATGTGTCACTGAATTGCTGCATATGCTGCCCCAAAGGAGTTTGAGGAAGGCATTGCCTCAACTCAACTTATAATTAACCTATACACCTTAGCGAGCATGTCTGGTTTCAGAGAAATGTAGGTTTTGTGACAGGAAAAAGATGTGCTGTTTCTCCARCCGGTATTTTAATGATAATATCTGTCAAAATACCCTTGAACTTGAGCTCTTCTTCCCCCGCACACTGACTTTGTGGTGCACAGTCTGCACTAAGCCCGTTTGATTTACTGATATGATATTGATTTACTGTATAAGAGCTAGGGCTTGAGTAGCAATTATCACTGTGCACTGGGGAAGCAGAGGGAGTCCCTTGGCAGAGAGCAGCAGAGCAGCGTCCATTGAAGCTGCCTGGCAAAGCCCCGTGGTAGCTACTTCCCTGTGAACTTGCTGGGATTTGCTTTCTTTTGTCTCTTCAAATCCTTAATGCTTTTAGAGAAGTTCTTGGGATTAACATCTCAATAGATTTCATATTGAAAGGAGTTTTGTTTCGCTCTCATTTGCAGTTCATGCTCTTAGTATATTATTTATATGTTCAGAAGTAAGTAGGGTGCAGAGAGGACTGGCTTTAGTTTGTTTTTTTTTTTTAACAAAGAAAAACTGAATTTGAATAGTGAACAAGAGTCACTTTATTTCACGCTGAGTAGGGATGAAACATGAGTGTTAAGTGATTGACTTTTAGTATATTGACTCTTATAAATCCAGAACAATGAGTTACAAAACCAAGTTTCAAAAGGGCGTTTCAGGGTTCTTTAAGCTGATGAATTCAGCCCTTGCCAGTGTACGGGCAGATAGACAGCAGAAAACAGCGTATTGGATTGAACTGGATGTACCAGTAGCATTAACCRGCAGCTTTATTAACCAAGGTCTACTCTAATGGAACAAACTATTTTTTTTCTTTCTTCYGGTAAAGACACAAATTAATGAATGGCTTTATGCCACACTTGGTCTCTCAAAAACCCAAGTAACCTGCTTTGGAAAACGTAACTTTCATTTCCATTTTGCTGTATTCTAAGTGTGATTGATTCCATTTTGAAAACAAGATTGTTAAACTTAGAAATGATGAGAATTAGAAGAACAAGTAGTGCCTTATTCCTGAAAGTAACCCTAACACATACTATAAGTATTACATACATATTYATGATTTAGTGTTTGCTCTACCTACCATAAAAAACTTTCACACATTTTTGAAATGTCTAAACTCTTTAAAATACTTCCATAATTACGCTGTTGATAAGGATTGCTAAATGCAGTGGAAACATAACATTTTACAGCACCTYGAAYCCTGTGTTCATTTTTGGGCCCCTCACTACAAGGAGGACATTGAGGTGCTGGAGCAGATCCAAAGAGGCTGGTGCAGGAGCTGGAGCRCAGACCTTATGAGGAGCTGCTGAGGGAGCTGGGGTTGTTCAGTCTGGAGAAGAGGAGGCTCCRGGGAGACCTTATTGCTCTCTACAACTTCCTRAAAGGAGGTGGTGGTGAGAYGGGGGTCAATCTCTTCTCCAGAATAACTMCCGCAAATAGGACAAGAGGAAATGGCCTCAAGTTGTGCCAGAAGAGGTTCACCTTGGATATTAGGAAGAATTTCCTCATGGAAAGARTGGTGAAGCACTGAAACAGGCTGCCCAAGGAAGTGGTGGAGTGACCGTCCCTGGAGGTGCTCAAGAAACATGTAGATGAGGTGCTTATGGACATGGTTCAGCAGTCATGGTGGGGATGGGCTTACRGTTGGGYTCCATGATCTTGAAGGYCTTTTCCAACCATAGTTACTCTGTGATTGCAGGTTGCTAATTACTTCACTCCCTTTTTACTCTCCAGTCCTTCTAACGTGCTTCACCCTCACATACTGCAGCTTTAGAACAAGGTATATATGACAGAATAGATAGTGCCTGAGGCTTGCTCTGTAGAAGGRTCAGAGTAGTCCTAGAATAGCAATTTTCCCTGGGCACCTTCTCACTGGGRAAGAAATGAGTTCCCGAGCTCTTCCAAGAAAGTGAAGGGCCCTGGGCAGGGCCCTTGCTGTGGCAGAGGCAATAACTGCAGGTCTGCATTTCGGAAGAGGCTAAATGCCTTTGGTGTCTCCTGAGGTTGGAAGGAGTGTGGCTGTGTTTYCAGAGGTGCTTTGGGGCTGCTTGGCTCAAGCAGTAGGTCATCCTGCCTGTGCCTCAAGCAGTTGCAGAACCAGCCAGCTCTGGAGGCTGCACAGCCAAGTCCCTGCAGGCATCATGAGTGCTCCCTTCTCCTGCGATCCTTTCTCCGTGCTATACTAATAATGGGATACCTGGAATTCCCTATGCCTCAGGGTTGAGATTTGAGGCCAGTGATATTTTTTACCAGCCCAGATATCCTATAATTTATCAGGAAGTAGTAGATCGCAAGCTGGTGCCATGACCTTAGGAGGCTGTTACTCAAATCCTTCACGTTGTGCCCGTGGCCACATTCCAGGCTGAGGCTCTGTGGGGCATGTTCGGAGGTAGCTGGGGTGATCCTGACATTTGTGTTCAACCTTTGGAAGGATCCTCTTGAAGTCTACAGTGTCATTAAAATAGCCATCCAGCAGAGGTCAGCAGTGTATTGCTCTGGGTGTGTGTGTGTGTGTGTGTGTGTATGCATATATATATAAAACAGCATATTATCTGCCTTAAAGTAAGATAAAGTGTCAGGGGAAGACCCTTCCTTTGCCTACACTTTTTTTTTGGCAAACGAATACCCTAAAGGGAATGTAAGGAGAATTTGCTATTTGTAAGGTTTGAAATATATTTGTGGAATAAGGCAACTAAAGAGACAATAAAACTCTGAGAGGACCAAGAAGAGTTTTCCCTGGGGGGGAAGGCCTRAAGAAATGCACTATTTATGTTTCCTGTTGCATGGCTTTAAATAACTAGATTTGTGAGAGAAAGCAAAAATTTCAAGATAATCATCCTTGGCAGAGAAGGAAGGGAGTAGAACAGGAAACAGATGCTGAAAATTTCTAAAGGAGCTTGTGGGAGAGGAGCAAAAGCCACATTTTAGCCTCTCACTAGCCCTTTTGAAGGCCTCCCCAGCCTCTTGTGCAAGTTTCAGGGCCGGTGAGGATGGAGCACATGTGATAGCACACAGCAAGTGAACAACATTTCMCCCCATTCTTCTAAGAAGAGAGTAATTCTGTTGTGGTGGTCTTTTCAAGTAAAAGATGTTTGTTAAAACTAATATGCAGCCTTTTTGCTAGAAGATGCTGGATTTAGGCAAGTGCAACTGGGAAAATGGACTTCTGAGGAACTGGTAGACAAGACCTCCTGGGTTCTTGATTTCCTACCCTGTCATCTTGCAAGGTGTGAGGGAGCCAGAAGTCGGGATGCTGCAGCCCCTGTTTCTTTTACAGATAAAACACTAGTAGCCTTTAATGAGCTGGAAGCCTTAGGAAGTCTTAGGTGGAGCTTCTGCGTAGCAAGTTACACCTCTGCAACCCAGAAAATAGACCTGAAGCTTCCTGCTTCTTACCATTTGTCAYGAAGATTGCTCAAGAATCAGAAATATGGGCTTTTTAGCCGTCCATTGGTGTATTATCAGGGAGCCAAATGAGGAACTGATCCAGCAACTTGGTGGATTTCCTGCTGTGGTTTCTGTGACTCTGCCTGAGGAGGCAGTTTGGACACGTGTTTTTCCCTGGAGTATTCTTAAAGAAAAAGCTACTAGAAGGCAATTTATAACTAGTTTAGCTTAGGTTTTGAAAGGACTATTTTATTTATTTATTAAACTGTAAATGCATGATCAGAAAATGGGCAGAAAGTATTAACAGAAGTCTTCGCTTGTGTTTTGGTATGTGTAGATTGATAGATTTTAGGACAAAATTAGCATTTCTAYGGGGTTCCAGGAAGCAAATGTGACAGAACCAAGCAGGCTTTGAAATGACTGTGACTTAGGGTCTCMTTCTTCAGCTAAGAATGACTTGAGCATTTTCAAAGTTTTTGTCCAATGTAARCAGTACAATATCTGGCTATTTACCCTGTTAGGGTAGGCCAAAAGTGAAGTATTCCACAATTCATGTTTCCTATTGCATGGTTTTAAATAACTATAGTATTTTGAAAGGGTTAGCATGATGGTTARTTATGTTAATCATGGGATTTTTTGTGCTTTTCCCAAAACTGAGTAAAAAACATGGTCAGTGATTAGCTGTGACTARCATAAAGCAAAATTGTTAGAACTTGTGCAGAAATGACAGCTGCAGAACTAGCTGGAGCTAATTACAACAGCAGCACCTTGAAGAGGAAAAAATAATGCTTTTAGGAGTTACCCCTTAGGAAATAAAATAATAAATAAGCACATGTATGCTCTCTTGGAATACACAGYGTTACCTTAACTTCTTTCAGACAGAACCTCAGCTGTCATCTTACCTACTCTCGAGATATTGGAAGTACTTTGACTTAAGGTACAGGGCTCTGGCTATTTCTCTTCTGGCTATTGTACTAATCCAGGAGCCTTTTTGACTATTGCTAAGTAGCCACCATGACCACCTTAAACTGGTGTTAGTGGGGTTGCTCTAGGGTCAGACACTTTTGTTCAAGACTGATGTCAGAAAAATATACGTGGAACCTGGCTTATTCACTGGGAAACAAATGTTCCTTTTCCCACTACTTTAAGTAGAAAGGAGAACCTGCAAACCTGCAGTTGCCTAAGACTTCTTAATAAAGCACTGGTAAAACTAGTAGAGCCTGTAAATATATGTGTTGTCTTGGACACCACACAATTACATGGGGTAATAAAATAAAAYCTTAATTTTCAGGAWGTTAGTGGTTAATTTGATTGAGCCATGAGGACCTGAGGGCCCAATGTGTCACAGCTGAAGTTTGACTTGTTTCTGTTTAATTTAGTAGGAACTGAATCGTCTTTAAATTYTATCCTTCTGTAAACTTTATCTTTGTTAACTGCAGTCTAAATACCTCAGACTGAGTTAGTTACTGTTCAGGGACTGGAGAGAAATAGGTACTTCGAAGTACCTATTTAATCCACCTCACCTAATACGGTGAGGTGGATTGCATGCTTGGATGCAATTTGAAATGCATGTGCATGTTGACAGGCGAGGTCAAATGAATCTCATTCATTTTGTTCAGGAAATCTGGAGGAGAAAGCTTGGTATTTTTTTGGATCTATGGATTCACTACTGGACAGAATCACAGAGTAGCTGAAGTTGGAAGGGACCTTTAGAAATCATCTAGTCCAACCCTGCCTGCTCCAGCAGGTTCGCCTGGAGCGAGCTGCCCAGGGTTGTACAGACTTGCTGTCAATTAACTTAAAAATGTTCTTTGAAAAGTATTTAACTTTTAAAAAGGATCATAAAGCAATGGAGAGCTGGGAGCCAGTYTGCTAGGCCTGTTGAGGGTTGCTGGTGTTGCTGCAGGGCACTGAGGGAACGTTGTGTTACACAGCGTGCGTGGGCAGGCGCATTAAGGACCCCTGCACATCTGGGCACGTATGCCTGAATTTAGCTGGGCCTCTGTAAGCAGGTAAGCTCACAGGAAACACATGAGGGATCGTTGGTTCTTTCCACATACAATTATGTGGAATTACACAAATCCTGTAACTTGGTCATGCTACAAAGCTTCGTTGTTTGCTCCGGTTCTTCCCCCTCCAGTTTGGTGGCAAATGCAATTCCTTTACTATGTAAGAAAACATCCCAAAAGAAGCCACAGCTTTAAAGCTAGGTTGGCAAGGAAAGCAGAGGATCCCTCCTGCCCCTGCTAATTCTTACCTGTATTTTCTCTCATCGCTTTTTGCTAAATGAGCGCTTTTTGCTAAATAATAAATAAATGAAGGCTCAGAGGAGGCTTGAATTGACTGTGACAGACAACCATAATGGCTGAATGAAATAAGTTCATCTTGATCTCTATCAGATAGTTTAATCCCACCTAATCTGTAGGGAGTTGCATCTCCAAATGATTTGAACAGTTTTGGGAAGAGTTGAGAGAAGTGTGTAGTTTTGTCTTGTTCCGTTTCTTGTGGGTGGCTCAAGCTGCAGGGAATCTCCCTGTGGAGGGGGCCAGGGACAGCAGTGCTGCACGTTTGATTTGTTCAATTTAACCTCAATTTAGTAACTTCTCAGATTTTGTGATATTTGCTTTGAAGCTGTTGCCTATATTGGTGTGATTTTTTGTTTGTTTAGGAATGACTCCGCCCTGTAGTATATATTTTTCTTTAGTACAGTTACATATTGTCCTTACAGAAACATTTCACAACAAAAGGCCTATTTGCAAAAATTGCAAAACCAATTTCTTCAGTAAAGGCCCCTCTTCTCATTACATGTGAGAAGAAAAACCCTTGCTGATCCTGCACCAGTGAAAACAGGTTTGTGGTGATGACAGGTTAGGAATTAGGAATAAAGCCTAAATCCATTCGTGCTCAAAGACATGAAAAATCTGGTAAGAAAGTGGAAGCAGTAGAGTGGACAGGGATTAATGGCTGAAACCAAGCTTTATATTTTTGGGTCTAAACAGTGGCATGGCAAATAACCTGATTGTCAAGAAGTTTGTAATAGTGACTTTAAAATGATAAATTCTGAAGTGTGCGTGTGTTGTTTCTATCAGCAAACAAATGAAGGAGCTGGAGGAGTCGGGATTCCTGAAGGGAGCCTTGAGTGCGGAGCAGCAGCTGGCTCTCATCAGCGGCTGTACAGACCTGAGGGAAGCAGTAGAGGGTGCTACTTTCATTCAGGTAAGCCAAGATTCAGCAGCTCCCAGCAAGCCAGAAAAACAATCCGATGGTTTTACGTATTAGATGCATACAGGAGAGTTCAAGCTCCTGGCTCCTTGGAGCTGGTTGTRCTGGCTGACTGATAGCTGACACTTGCTAAGGCTGGAGTGCCTTGCTGATCTCCACATGTGATGAGACTGTAGCTGTTAGAGGGTGAAATGTAGAAGGGAGGTGGGCAGRAATCTCTCAGAGGGAGCTCTTCTGCTAGGCAACATGACATGTATTAGTGCTAGGACTAAAAAATATTTCTTCTTCTCCAGCTAGCTGTATAACGCAGGCAGAAGCCACCCCGCTCAGGGGTGGCTTCTGTTGCAACTATGTTGAAACTCAGGCCCTTTCCTGCTTGGGCCTCAGACACAACCAAGTTTAGTGCTGTAGAGTGTGTCCCATGTCTCTGCCAAAGTACTTGTCATGGGTGTTAAAAGGGTGCTTTGCAAGGGAGGGAGAAACCTGCAGCCCCAAAGCAGCTGTCCACACCAGAGGGCTAAAATTGGGTCGGTTTGTAGGGCTGGCTGGGCCTGGGCTGCTGAGCAAGATAAGGTTGGGGAACAAGGTGAGTTCCTGGAGCTGACAGTCTGTGCTGCTTAGCTGTTGCTTGCTTAGCTCATTGATGTGGGCAGCTTAGGGAACAGTGGCAGAAGGGACCACTTAYAGAAGACACGATGGATGAGTTTGTATTGGACATAGCAACTGGGGTGCTTTCTCTTCCTAGTCTCTCCCAGCCTTTYGTTGTCCAGCCGCTGCATCCTCTGGATTTCCTGAGTCAGAATGCTGTTGTCCATTCAGAACAACTTCTCACCATGAGGAAAAACTTATTTAGTGTAGGTGAAGGGGACTGAGCACTGGAATGGGCTGCCCAGAGATGCAAGGAGTTGACTTCCTTGAAGATAGGCAGAAGCCTGGACACAACTCCAGCCGAGAGGCTCTACGTGGCCCTATTTGAACAGGGGCTTGGACTAGGTGATCTCCAGAAGTTCCTTTCATTCTCAGCCGTTCCGTGTTGCTGTGAACTTCTAGCATCCAAACAGCCTATCAGCAGCAGGGTTTCCTTTAAATCCTCTGTCCTGCCAGCTTGGCTTCATGTGCTCTAACTTTTGAAGTGGAAGACAGAATTCAGAGAGTACAGAGTTTATTCCTACAGAGGATTTTTAGACCCTTGTCGTATTCACTCTCATTTTGAATTTGAGGAGATCTAGTTTGACATAAAACAGCTTCAGAAGGCTTTGGAGAATAGCAACAGGGTTTCCTTCTTCCAGAGTTCCAGGCCTTTTCCAAAATTGTCCTGGTGCGTGGCGGGAGATCGGAGGGCAGAGCAAAACCTCACATGATAGTGAAGATGTGTACGTGCTATGGATTTTTACAGTGGCAAACTATGAGAAGTGACCTTTCCATTTACTGTTTTTACTTGCATATCACTTACCTCGACTGAGTTTAGTTTGTTGCCTGGTGAGTCTCATGAAGTTCTTCTGGAGATGTTTGGGCCAGCAGTGACAAGCCCTGACAACATGGTGAGCTAGCCCTGCCTGCCCACTGCCCACCTGTCTTCTAGGTCATTTATGAATCAGTTATAGCAAAGAGCACTGATCTCTGAAACTGCCCTGGTCAGTGTCTCCCACTGAGCAAGAGCTGACCCTGCCTCCTGTTTGCTGTCCCTTTGCCAGTTACTACTATCCCTCTTATCTCTCACGTGGCTGCATAACTTCCTTGAAAGCCTTCAGTGAAGGGCTGTGTTGTTAGACTTTTGGAAATCCACAGGGACTGARTCCTATTCTCTTGCTTTTTGCCTCCTTTAAATAATTCTGCTAGGCTTGTCAGTGAGGGCTTCCCTTTGAAAAGGCTGTTTTACTAGTTCTCCGTTTATTTGCCATTCATGCAGTGCTGTCCTTTTCTCCTGACTATCTTGACAGACATCAGGCTTATGGGGTCCTAGTTTAAGATTTCTGTGAAGTTGCCATTGAGTGACAAACACGAGGCTTTATCACCTCTCTTCGTACATTTGGTTTGGTTTGATTTCAAGCAAGCAATTTTATAGCACTGTCAGTGGCATTTTCTATCTTGTTTTGTTGTGTTCTGGCGAAATAATGATTGTTGACTGGCATCTTCATCTGGGTACCTCTTCAGCTTTGCCAAGGCTGCCTTCATGGGTTTAGTAGCTGCTTTCTTCTGCTTCTTTCCTTCTGCTCTTTCAGGCATTTTTTACTGCTTGATAGTTGCTTGCCTTGTGTTGCTTTGTCCCTCACTGCCACTTCCGTGTCTCCTTACAAGTGTCCTCACTTTTATCCAACTACTCTCCTTTTAAAACTTAGTGCAGCCTTGATGGAGTTCGTGGCTCCTGTTGATCCTACAGAGATGCTCGGTCTCAGTACTTCTTTGGTTGCTGTTAGGGTGGCTCTTCAGCTGTAAGATTTCTAAACCAGGACCTGCATCCTACTTCCARCTGAACTGGGAACTGCATTTCTTTTTCCCCCGTCATGGTTCCCTTTAACTAACTGATCTAGTTGGGCTAATGTCACGGAATCAGTAATTTGGCTTAGAAGTGGCCTTTGGATATCATCTGTTTCAACGCGATGCTCAAAGTAGGACCAGCTTAGATGAGCTCGCTCAGGACATGTCCAGTTGAGCTTTATATCTGTAGGAAAAAGACTTTTAGCCTCTTCAGATAACTTGTTGCAATGTTTGATTGCCCTYATGGTAAAATTCCGAGTTGGAATTTCCCTTCCTGCACCTGGTATCTCTTGCCTCCCATCCTACCACCGTGAACCTCTGAGAAGAATCYGGCTTCTCRGTGATAGCCGAAGGCGGCCCCGTTGCAGTGGTAGTGCTTGAATTACCTTGATAACAGCACTCTGCCTGTGGTAACTCAAGCTTCCCAGCACTACTTCATGTTCCCTTAGCATCACGAGATTTCAGCATATTGCTGCTAATTGAATTATATATTAAAAAAGTTGAATGAAGCAGATGCAGTGCAGCAGACGACAGGCAGGACACGGTGGTGGGCAGCGCTCACTAGCTCTTCCTTTTCAAACCACAGTACCAAATTTTGCCTCTGAAAAAAATGTTTCCATATATACAATGTCAGTATATAAAATAGATATAAAAGACTGGAAGTCTAGAATAAGGATTCTTATGTACCTTATGGCCAAATGAACAATGTTACACTTGGGAAAAGGGACCCGGTACAACTCTGAAACTGGAAGGGCAAAATGGCATAGCTGTAACTTACGAGTACAAGTGTATGTATATATGTATATTTATACATATAAAATGATTTGCATTAGTTGCAAATTATTGCAAATTGTTGGCTGTAGAACGTAAAACTTTTCTTGCTTAATGATGTGACCTAGTGATGAACTTGTCATGGATTTCTGTGAGAATTGTAGTACTTTGCACTAGAATTTAGTTGGTTAAATCTTAACTTTTTTTTCAAATTTGATCTCTGTAGAGTAGGTCCACTTCAAACTCCGAAAAGTTCCTTGATGTTTGCAGTGCTTGAATCAATTCTCTAAAGGTGTGTGGTTTTTTTTTTTTTTTTTTTTTTGAATTATTTTTTCTCCTTTTTTAAGGGAACTTTGTGTAAAAACCTCAGAACTATGTGGGTTTTCTGGGTTTTTTTTCTTTCTTTTTTTGGAAAGAGCTGGACATCCCCGTACTTCACGGGCGAGCTCCTTTGAACTGTTAATAGTAATCTAAGAGGTCTTCAGCCTGGTCCAGTTTGGATCTTGCTGGCTGTTCAATCTTTCTGGTAGACATATCTAGAAAAACAATGTTACAGCTTAAAAAGAACCTTTGGAAAGATGGGAGGTGCCTCAAAATGGACTACAAGCCTTGACTTGGAAGTCATGACATGACAGTACGTGTTTCAGGGCTCCTGCCAGAGAAACTTGCCTTTAAATCTGAAGTTTTCCTGGTAGTTAGCTGCAGGCAGAGCTGAATTCAGCTGTGGCAGGAGCTGGTGGGACGGAAGCCACCAKATGATGGTCAGGCCTGGGATGTGGCTGTGTCAGTGAAGCACCTCTGTGCCTGGGGAGCTGCTGAAGGGCCGGGTATGGGACTCTGTATGTGACCATTGCAGGGACAYGGCTGCTTCTGGACTGGCTGGCCAGCCCTGAGTTTTGGGAGGTAAACATGGGCCTCGTTGTTTTCTGCCAGGTAAATATAACCTTAGGCCTGGCTTTATCCCGTTTACCTTAAACACTTAACAGCACCAAAGTTCCACTTTAGCTTCAGAGGCAGCTGGTTCTAAATGGGCTAACTGCCTGGATGGCTTTGCAGGGGKTTGGGGAAAATTTAAGGGTTGAAACAATGCAAACCGAAAAGTTCTTGCCGCAAAGTATTTTTTAAAGTCACTCCAGTAGCTCTCCYGATCCTTTTGTGCAGGCAGAGTAACGGCTGTGTCGGAGCTGAAGCGAGAGATGGGGTCCCAGGAAGCAGCCTGACGGTGTCACCCCGGTGGTGCTGCAGTTGTCACCTCCTCCCCACAGCCCACATTGCCTCTCTTCCCACTAACTCCACTTCCAACCTCCRTCTGGGACACAGTTCCTTAGAGTGTCACACACAGAGCTCCCTGATCACTTGTCGTTCCTGCATTGTCTAGTTGTGCCTTTTTCTAGGTTCCAGCCTCTTGCTTTGCAATTACAGCTGGTTTAACTGCTTTTTCCACTCATCTTCCCTCATCTGACCAGYAGCTTTAAAAAAAAGAGGAAAAGAAAATAAAAAAGAAGAATTGAAGAATTGACACATGGTGCTTTTGGGGTAACTAAGTCCCAGAAGACTACTCATTTTCTAACCAAAGTGGGAATGTGGGATCATAGGCAGGCCCATCCTTTAGGTCAAATTGTCAGCCCATCCCTCCTGAACTGAGCCAGGTCTATTTAAAAGTGTAGTCAGGTGCTAATGTAGAATTTGCTTGGAGGACTGATTGACCAGTAGTATCCATATATATATAGATAGATAGATGTATA